CAAGTGTTCAGGGCCAGGTTGAATGGGCAATTGAGCAACCTGGTCCAGTGGAAGATGGGGTGGGGTTTGAACCAGATGATCTTTAAAGTCCCTTCCAACCCAAGCCATTCTGTGATTCTCTGAAAGAACCCACACCAAATCTAAGGCAGCAAGGCCCCTTCTCCTAAGCAGTATAAATATGTTTGGCTTCAAACAATCCACAGTGTGAGCACTGAGTTACATTAGATTCATTTGGCAAATCAAGCCATTTCCTTTTCACAACAGTCATTCCGGTTTTCCTCTCATGCTTCAAAAGATTCTGATAAATACCTGTGTATTTATTTCTGGCAAGCAAAGGACATTCATACTGGAAGAACCTAAAAAAAGGTGTTTCAAATAGATTGTTCATTCTTCACAGCATTGAACACAAGAAGATTGGAGGGACAGAGTATGCACCAGTGTGTGATGGTTTAAAATCTGATTACTCAAACAAGGGATGATATGAAATTCTAAGCGGTTGAAGGCCTGAAAATTCACACACACCTTTGTAAAAGGCTTTGAGTTTTGGTGGAACCAAGCTTTCTTTGTATAGATTTTCTTTCCTACTTCTACAACTCTTGTTTCACACAAATGAAAAATCTGTGAATTTGATGTGAAACAGCTCCACCCTTTGCTTTTCCTCCCTGGCCCTCCCTCTCATTTGCCTTTAGTGCAGTGACCAAAGCACCAGGACCTGGCAGTGGTAGGGAGCAACAGACCTTCCTTTCTCAGTTCCCAGTTCTTCATCACCTCGTGGCACCTGCACACACCAGTGTTACACCTGACCCTGTGAGGTTTCATCCCTGAGAGTGACTTTAATCAGTGTCATCCTACTTTTAATTATTATTGAAAATAACAAAAAATAAGGAAGCGTTCCTCTTATCAACTGCTTTCATATTGACCATCACAGTCCAGAGAGGTAACTTTGCCTGCATAAACTGAAGCAATGTTTTGGCCTTCAAATCGATTAGTGACTTATTTCATTTGACCAAATATTGGTATACTAACAACTAAGCACTCAGCCTTTAGTAAGATGTACATTCATCAGATTACATAGTAAAAGATCACTTTGCCTGTGATATTTCGGGTAGCTAAAGTTACCCTATCTGCTTGAAAAAAGTATTTTGTTGATTTGAAGATAGATTCTTTGAATTTCTTGTTCATTGAACATGTAAAAGCAATGATTTATTCTAGCTTTAATAATGACTACAATTTTAATGCATTTTTTCTGCAAACATCATGCCCAAATTGTCACTAACTTTTATGTATACTTAATACAAGGAAACCTACTGGGGGCCAGGCTTCAACCTGACTGCTGCATGTGTGATTGCACTGGGTTATATTATGCAACAGATTATGTTCTGTAGGAAGACCTCTGGACTCTAGCAATCTTTCAGTTTATCTTTTGTAGAGAAATTAAAGCCTGCACACCAGGACAAGTTTTCTGCTTGCAGATAGTAAGATGGAATTGGCATACAGGAATAATCTTTTTGATTTTAAAAACTGGACTGCATTTTTACCATGACACCTGACATTTACTTCAAATGCACAGTAGTCTGCCTCCTGGGTTTGAGAAATCTCATGGATTTTTAGAGAGATAATGTAGGACAGCCAATATAGCTGTCCTTTAGCTCTAAAAGGGATATGATTATTCCTGTCTGATAGTTCATTTATCCTTTGTCTCACATAATCACTTATCTCTCTTCCCTGTTCCAAGAGGTATACTATTTACATGCTAATAATCAAAATAAATACTGAAAACTGCATCTCTGTACCATCTTATATACCCAGCACAGACAACTCCATACTAGAGAGGTTTGCTTTGCATCTTGCTTTTAAAAACTAATGGTTCCATACTGAAACCACTGTTGTAAGAACTATTACTTACAGCATTCAATAGCTCTATTTACCATGAATGCTCCAGCTTTACAGTTTGTAAACAAAGCTAGATAAGATGGAATTGGTGAGAGGCAACAGAATTGCATTACCAAAAGACAGGAAGTATTCAAATGCTCAGAGAATACCTAAAAATAGCAGTGCCTCTAAGCCATGTTGGAAATATCAATACACAGGCTGCTAGTCACAAGCATCTCAAATTACTTTATAGAAGACACTTCTGAAACTAAAACCATTCTGTAATATCTGTCTTGTTCAGAATAAAAATTCTTATCCTTAGTAATGGTTCAAATGCTGTTTATTTATGTTTAAATATTTTTAAATGTATTTCAGATCCTCAGATATATTGAGAAGTCAAAAAGACTTGATCAAATAAGTTGAAATCCCAGTTTCTAAGAGTTGGCTGGTAGCATACAAAATTCAATTTAGTGTGGATGCCAAAAGCAGAGAGAATAGCTGTCAAACATCACTAACATTAAAGCTTTGTGTGCTAGCATGGCAGGATTTAAAAAAAAAACAAGGGCTGTTTTCAACCAATATTTTGGATAGTCACAGCTAAGATTGTTCATTAAAATCACTTCAAAAAACTCAAAATAACAATATTTTCAAATTCAAACAATAGATTTTTCTTGGTTTTTAAACCATGAAAATAAAACATTAGGGAAGTTTCTAATGAAGACCTCCAACACCTCTGAAGTTCATGCCTTTATAAACAGACTAAATCTGTACACCTCAGGTACAGTTATTACACTGTGAAGAATATATGTCTTGAATATATTGGAAAAAAATCTTTAAAGATGCTTTTATTTTTCCCACCTGGTCATTTGTGTTGTTGCCTGACATGAAGTCCACAAAAGCCCTCTCTAATGAAAAATTAAATGATTTTATGTGTTCATCTATCACCTCGTTGAAAAAAAGCTATTCAAATTCTTTAAAAATCTATTCTGGCCAGCTCTATTATCATATATTGCAACAGGGTGGAAAGGACTAAATGCTAGCAAATGCAATTCCCTCTGTATTTCTTTAACCCTCCTAGATTTAATTTTTCATTCATAGGACCCAGTAATTATATCACTTCAGTGACTCCACAGTCAGTCAGAGAGAGCCAGCATGCAGGGTACAAATGTCAGCGTGTGCCAGGGATGCCTTGCAGGTAAAGCAGCTGTTTAAAAAGTGCATCCCAAAACCAATTTAGTGATTCTCCTAAATACAGGATTCTTCTGATAGGAACGCAGTTCCTAAAAGAGAAAAATAACTTTGTTTTGACCTCAAATTCTATTAGCTGTAAACATAGCAGCATGGACTCCACAAAAACATTAGAATAAATTGAGCTTTAACATAATGAAATATTTAGGGCTGAGCTGATTACTCATTTCTGCTCAGCAGTGGAATAGGCTAACAGTCCCACTTTCCTATGTGAAATGAAATATGATGCAGTGTAAGTTGATTGGTAATAATTACAAGCTGATGTTCTTCTACCTCCTGAGCAACAGGAGACCTGTGCATCAATTGCAGATTTTCTGTACTGTAATGATTCACACACAATATATGCAAGTTGTCTGTGTGGCCAGTACAGATTCTGCAATTTATCTAAATATTCATTTAGAAAGATTGATTTCCAGATTTAAGTAGAAGTTTAAAGCTACAGGATGATTCCTGAATTGGTCCAGTAGACCAAGCCAGAGACATCATAATAGAGTTTCCTTCCTTAAATCTCAACGGAGCAAATTATTTTTCTCCCCCTCCTTTTTTACCACCCAAATTATTCTTGAAGCTCAATTTTATTTCAAACATCAATTCATTCATGAGATGATTTGAAGAAGAGTCAGGGGAATTTATTAGGACTCTCTTTTTGGATTAGAGAGATAAAGAAAAGAAATCTAAAAGGAGGGTGTTTAAGCACTGAGACTGCTAGTCCAGGACTTGAGCAATCTCCAGGTTTTTGAGATAGCCACAGCTTCACTGGACAAGACCCTGAGCAACTTGATCTACCTTAAATTTGGTCCTGTTTTGAGCAGAATGGCTGGATGACAACTAAGGCTTTATTTATAGAACTATCTTCCAGATGATAGCCCTTGAGCCACATGCACTTTTCCTGCATAATTCCATTATTCAATCTAATTTTCAATGAATAATTACCATAGCTATTATACATATTTTAAATAATCATATTTTAAAATCATAGATCTAGGTAAGAAACTAAAAATTTGGACTTCTGAGAAAACTATTTCAGACTTCACTTAGGACAGGATTATTTTACACAGTGACCAATTTATTTTCTGACTGCACCACAGCAAATTGTAACAGAAACTAAAAGACAACAAGACAACATCTTTCCTCTGTGGAAACTTTATAGTCTCACTTTTATCACAAGAAAGAAAAGCTTTGAAATATGAACTGAGAGCAGCCAATGATAGGTTATTACCCATGCCTACAGAGTTCCATATTTCTATGGGAGGGAATAAAAAAGAATTGACATTTTTTTAGACTATGCCAGTCAGTGCAAACAAAATCTGTGTTCTTGTGTTAAATATGAGCCTTTCTAATACTGTAAAGATGCAAGAATATTATCTGTAGTTGTGCATTTTTCGCATTTTACACCATTGTCTTAGTTAAAATTGAGGCAGCTATGCGCCCAGAGCTGTGTTCTACACTTAACACACTCATGTACACGGATATTCACCAGCACAGGGCTAATATTTTCTATCAGCACTTCTTCATCCTTAGTTTTGCACACTGATTTGTCAAACAGAACTCATGCATACATTAAGAAAACAGAGTAAGACGTCACTGGGCTTTTCCATGATAAGTGGGGAGATTTTAGAGCTAACACAAGTAAATATTAACACTAGTCAAGTGAGATGAATTGAAGAAATGTATCCAATATATCTCCATGACAGATACTCTCATCTCCATGAAAACCCAACCTTCCAGTGTAAGTACCAAGAAAGGATCAGCACTAATTTGAAACTTCATTGCTTCATCTCACAGACTTAAACACCCCATCTAATGAGGAGCCCTGTGTGTGTGGGTAGCTCAGTGGTACCTGACACCTCTACGGCAGCTTCAACAGAGAATCATCTTACCCTTCCACAGAAATGGTCCGCTGCAAGCTCACTGTGGGGGGACGCGTTGCAGTGCTGTGCTGGGAATGACTGGATGGCCAAGGAAGAATAAAGAAAAGCATTTGTTAAAGAAATAGAACTTGCTCTTACTGTCTCTAGCAGTTTAGCTAATGCCAAAATAGATACAACAATCAGATTGCTTTACATGTGTCTAAAGCATTTTGACCTCAGTGGTGCTCATCTGATCAAAAAGGACCTAATTGTACAATTTCACTTGTTTAAATTCAGCTTTCATTTCTCATTAAGAGCAGAAAATGAAGATAACTCTCCCTTATCTTTCCTACTCATTTTTTAAATACATATAGATTCACACACAGAGTTTAGTAATTTAAAATAACTTAAATGCTAATTATTCCACTAAATATACTAAACATTCAATGCAAATTTAATTTTAGAGCAAAAGGTAAAACAGCAAATGATAATGTAATCAATCTAATTCTCAGTGTTTCTCAGTAAAAGAGGACATGCATTCCTTAGAGTTGCACCTTGATGTAACTTCAACACTAGCTCTATCAGATTTTAAGCAGCTTGAGTCTTTCCACATGGATTTTTATTAATCTAGGACACAACATTTGGGAAAAAACATGGTATTTTTTTCTATAGCAAAACACAGACTTTCTAAAAAACCTTTTTGATTCTGATTTTTGAGGTCTAATGGCTTCCCATATGTTATACTGACATGACTAAGAAACCTGACTAACAATAATTCTGTTAAAAATACACAGTATGTGCTAATTTCATTATTATACTATGGTAGAATAGCATTGTAAATACAAATGGATAAAACAGAGCATCAGTCAAAGGCAGTTTTGTGATAATAAATTGTACTCCTTATCCAAGACATCCTGTTTAAATAAGATATTAAAAAGCAGAAGCATCTGGGTGTATTTTCTGACTAGTTTAAATGACTATAGCACATAGTGAGCCCCAGTGTTAATAATGCAAAGTACACAATAAAAATAAATCTTTATGTCAGTTTTATATCACTAATTCTAATAACTGAAGACTTTGTCTTGCTTTCAAGCTTTGCTTATATCTCAAGCTGCTTGTTCAGAAGCAACAAATCTTATTTTCAATCAAAGCATTTCATTTGACATTAGTGAGCAACATATCTCTTTTACATGAATTTCATCCTATAACATAGTCAATGCTGTCTGATAGAAAAGATCCTTTTTGGTTTCTGTTTTGCAGCCCATGGAGTTGTGCTGCCTGTCACTGCACAAACAAGTCCTGCTGCTTCCTGGTGTCTTCTGTTGTGACAAGTGTGCTCTTGTTTTATGTTGGTAAAGTATTCATCCCTACTGAGAAGGTTTCAGAAGGTTTGTGAAAAAGTATATTCCCCTTGTAAGAAGAGCTGCAGAGCTTCTTAACTGTTTTATAGCAAACTTAGGAATTATAAGTTTGAAGGATCATGGTATGAACAGAACAGCTGAGTGGGACAAACACTGCAGAACATTATATGAATATTGGTTAAAATTTCACATTCACAAGGAACTTTACACCCCACTCTTGCCAAGTGAGGGGCTCATCTAGCTGCAATATTCCACCCATTAGAAACCTTTTCCATTCCTAGGGATTTATGACACAGTATTCAAATGAGCCCTCGCCTTCTTTATGAAAATAGTTCAGAACTGGTGATTTGAAAACTCATTTTCTTTTACATAATTATAAAAATCAAGTTTGATGCTCAATAGAAACTTGTGCCTTCTAAGGTATCATTGTGAATATAATGACACCTTAAAGTCTAAAATGCAATTTAATCATTGCTTGACACAAGTTGCTATTGGAGACAGAATAATAGTCTGATTTGATTCCTAACTGACTTATTGAAAAGAAAGTCTCCTGGTGAATTCTATCAAACTGATGGAACCAGCAGAAAGAAGCTGATTTCATCACATGCTTAATACACTTGTGCAGTTGCCATGTCTTTTGCAGCACAGAAGAAATAAAGCTTTCTGCTACCAACACTTTCTGTGATGAATGCCTAAACATATCCCTATTGATATGTAAGCAGCACAGTTTTAAACTGACAGATTAAAATGTTCAGAGTTTGACATTTATAAAAATGCTTTACAAATGTTTATAAAAATGCTACCATTTCTCTAAAATTATACAGAATGAACCTCCTACTAATTTTAATAATATAAAGTAACAAAAATTTCAATATACAGCCCAGTACTATAGCCACACAAGATGGATTTTCCCTGAAGAAAAGAATTTTACATCCTGTAAAAGACCAATTTTAACTTAAATCCATTTCATTTTAGTTCATTGAGACAAGGTGGAGATACTGTTCTTGTAAGACAATTCTTAAGAGTGAAGGAACAAAGAATGAGATTGTAAATTAATAATAAGGTGCAAAACTGGGAGCAAAGAATCCAACCTCTCTTTTTAATGGGTTTATATTGCTTTTTGTTTTAAACTTATTTCTCAGGCAAGGTGAACCATTTCATGGCTTCATTAAGTAATAAAAATAGAGCAGCCTGGTGTTCACATATTTTTTAAAATGTTTATTATGCAAATAATCATATCAGTAAACATTATATAAACAAAAAGGTGAGTAGCCAGTCTGCTCAGCTTTAATTCTGTTCTGGGCCAAGAAAGCTCTGAAGGCACTTTTGTTGTGTGGATGATGCTGAAACTGGAGGCAGCATCATAAACCCTTCTTTCCCCACAGGGGTCAGATGAACCACCACCTTCCCTTCGCAATGACACTTTCACTGATACACAATACACCAGTGAAACACCTATCTGGGATGAATGCGTTAGGGAAATATTTATTGTGTTTTAAACTTCTCTAATGTAAAAATATGGACAAACCACCATTAAGGGATCAGACTGCATGATGCTCAAATCAGTTCATCCCAAAGCCTGCCTATTGCACTGACAGTAGAAGAAATAAGGTTGCTACAATCCAAAATCTTTCCTCTTCTCTTTTGTTTAGATAAAACCTAGACACATTGTCTTTACAAAGAAAGCACTTGAAAAATCATTAACTTTCCTCTCTCAACCCTCAACCTCTATCAACAAAGAACAGCTGTCCTCTATTTGCTACAGCCCTGATTTAGGAACTCTTTTGTTTCCATGTATCTTTATTTTGACAAGTCAAAACTGACAGCGTTGAAGTTATTTGCTTCCTAAATCAATTGACCTGCAACTTCTCATAAAGATGCAGCAAAGCAGCCATGGCACAGGCTGGGTAGAGACCACTCTGAATAATGGCTCTGGAGCAGCCATTCTTCAGCTCCCAATTCTGAAACTGCCACACAGCAGAAAAATATACAAACTCCATTTGTCTATCAATATGTTCTCTGCAGGAAAAAAAAAATCCAAAACAAACAACAAAATCAAACCCAAAACTAGAGCCCTGTGTTATTCTTTGTCATTCACAATAGTAAAACAAAAAAAGAGTGATAAATATTAAAAAATTCCGCTAGAGACCAGTGAAGGGAATGCTAAGACTGTTTGTTTTTATGATGTATTCTCAGCATGTTGTTTCTTATGTCAAGGATTGAAGGTAGCACTGCAGTTGTTTATAAAGCTTCTAAGCCTTTGATTTGATGGATCTAAGTGTTTAGGAGGGCAACATGCTTTAATTCCATTAATGTGGAGTTTTAATTCAGCTCAGTGAAGTGAAACCAGCTTTTCCTGATGCTGCCAACAGCTAAACTCCTAACTTAAATGAGTTTTTGCACTCCTGTGGGATTAATTAGAAGACCAGAGATTGCTTTTTTTTGGCATTAATTTAATCTCGGCTACAAGCGGTTTGATAATATCCAGTACTGACAGTTACTGACCCATATTAGAAGTGTCAAACTAACCAGTCTCCCATCAGAGGCAAATAGGAAACTTCAGGGAATAGGACATTCAACCCTGCTACGTTCAGATCACCCTCAGGTAACAAAGCCAGACATGAGATGTAGAGCTGTTTTCATGCACAGGCACATGCAGTGAGGATTTTAGCAACATAACTCAATTTTTAAAATGGCATCTGTACATCTATTGTACAAATAGCATTGCTAGGCTAAATAGCTACTCATTGGAAAACAGAAAAGGAACAAAATGAAGGATTAGGCTGTCACTCTGCCTAGAAATATGTAGAATAAGCCCACATCACATCTCTGTTTAGGTTCTCTGAGGCTATTTCACTTGCACGACTAAGGTAAAAAGGTTGCTAACTCATTCCTCCCTTCCTGCCTGCCTCCCTTCCCTAAACAGTGCTCACAAATAAGTGGCTAGGCACATTCTGTGACTTGAAGTATTTGAGTTACTGCAGCCCTAAACTAGCATCATTTAGCAGTAAGGAAGAATGCAAGGTGGAGCTGTGACTCAGAGGAATGCTTCAGCTCCTGGAACAGAGCTAATTATCCACCTTTGTAAGTGGTGTACCCAAGTCAGGTACCTGATCTTCAAAGTGGTGAAGCATCCACTGCCTTCAAATCTACTTCCTTATGGCTGAGGTAATTGCAGGAGATAATGATTACCTTTAAAATACAAAAATATTTTTTTGAGAGGATTTGTTCTTTCAGTTTGAGATACAAGATTATTTAAGAGTTTTTAAAACAGCAGAACTGGTTTAGAATGATGTGGGGGGAACTGAAAGTAATTAGAAATGCTGTTTAAAGGAGTAGAGTGGAGAGGACATATTTTCAAAGCGTCCCACATGTAGAGTAAACACAGACTTAAAGTATTGTGAAGAACACAGCATTGAGTAAATTAGGGATAGTGAATGAAAACTGTTAGAGAAAACCTAATCCAATCCTAAGTGATTGTGTTCCTTGTTCATATCTTCATATTTTTGACAAACTTTTGGGTTTTTGGAAATGGGGTGCCTAATCCTCCACAGAATTCCAAGATATTCTATTACTGTTAAAAAAGTAAGCTTAAGTCTTCCTATCAGCCTCAGTTATACTACTACTGTTGTGATTATTCCCATCATTATTATTTATGATACTGTAATGATTATGAGAAATTATAAAGCTCCTTCTGGGAGCTAAAGTCCTCCCTGATGAAGTTAGTTTGAAAATTAT